CCAATGCAGACATGATCCTGTTTTTAGTTTTCTACACCACCTTATAATCTAGCAGTTTTTTTGGTTGCTACTTTTCGTTTTGACTGTCCTTTTTGTTGCCATTTTATTTGAATTTGTAAAAAAGAAAAAAATAATTGTACGCCTCTTTTATGATTGTCTATTGTTGTCGTTGTTATCCACTGTTGTCATCACTCTTTGTTAAAGAAATCAGGTCTCTCTTTTAAATGAGTCCCCGAGGCTCAACGGGATTAACCTGTATAAATAAAGGCTGAATGAAAAAAAAAAAAATCACATATATATTTATATAAAAGAAGGCGTAGGAAAAAAATATCGGTATCGGTATCGGTTATCAGCCAAATAATTTTAACATATCGGCATATCGGCCAATTTCGTGCATCCCTAGAGTTGTAGTGGGAACATTCCTGCTGACTCTTTCTATATAATATGTATGATTTATGATTCTTTCTATGGAAATATGTATTAATATGATGCAATCTATATTTTTTGTTCTATCTTAGTGATTCAGTACACCACAGAGAACAAAGAAACATGTGCTGGGTAGGTGGAATTTATGCCTGTTTATGTTACACACTTCCTACACAGTTAGCTTGACAGCAAAAGCTACAAATCACAATATCCTTTCTTCTAAAAGTTTACAAACGTAGAAGCGTTTTACCAACATTTAAAAATATGTGCCTTCTTTTTCTTTTCCATCATCTAGATTCCAGCAGCAGTGTTCCCAGAATGCATTTTGCTCTGACTACGCCACAGGATTTTGCTGTCACTGTCGCCCAGGCTTCTACGGAAATGGGCGCCAATGTTTACCTGATGGTTAGAGCTCAACATTTATTAAAATGTGAAATGTTTCTGTTTTTTTTTTTTCATAAAGCTTTTCTTGGTAAAATTCTTGTTTAAAGCGATTTTGTTTGTCGGCGCTGCCCCTCCAGGCGCTCCTCAGCGAGTTAGCGGGAAGGTGAGCGGTACGGTGACTGTGGGATTGATTCCAGTGAAGCTGAACAACATTGATCTTCACGCGTACATCGTGGTTGGAGATGGAAGAGCGTACACTGCCATCAGTGAGGTAGAGGACTGAAAATATACCCTATAATTAATAATAATAATGCTTAAAATACCCGAAATCTAATTTGGGACTTACTAAACCTGAAAATTAGGCAAAAAAGCACCTTAGATGAATCTTTGTAAATGTTTTCTATACGACTTTATCAGTCAATCACACACTCATATTTACAAAAAGGCTTTCATTCATATCAAAAGAACCCGTTCTTTGTGGCGAAGAGGGAGCTGAGCTGCAAGGTGAAGCTCTCTGGCTATGTTCCTACCCTCACCCATTGCTATGAACTTTGGGTAGTGACCAAAAGGACAAGATCGTGGATACAAGTGGTCTAAATGAGTTTTCGCTGCAGGGTAGCTGGACTCTCCTTTAGAGATGGGTGAGAAGTTCAGTTATTCGGGAGAGACTTAGAGTAGATCTCCTCCTTATGAGAGGGGCCAGTTCAGGCATCTAGTAAGGATACACCCTGGACGCCTCCGTATGGAGTTTTTTTTAGCATATCCAACTGGAAAGAGACTCGGGGCAGACCCAGGACATGCTATAGAGTCTGTCTCGGATGGCTTGGGAACACCTTAGAGTCCTCTCAGAAGAGCTAGAAGAGGCGTCTGTGGAAAGAGATAGACGGCACAGCTATCTTACGTTTGCACCATGGCATTTGAAGTCATCAGATAAGAGGTCCACCACTTTGTTACCGATTTTCTGTTGCGGTTGGGATTGTTATATTTTCACATGACCCTCTTTGATCCAAATTTGACTTATCTTATTTTTGGACTATTTTGCCTGCGAAGTGTCCAGGTTCTGTCATCTTGCAGCTCAAACCATCAGTCTGTCACCACCAAGCTGACAAGTGGAATCAGTTCCATTCCTTAGTGGTACCCCTTCTCTTTAATGTTTAACGTCTCATTATCCATAGGAACTGTATACCTGTAACGGGTAGGGATGCACAATATTATCGGCATATCGGTATCGGCCGATATTAGCGATAAGTTAAATATCGGACATCGGCCATTCCAACAAAAAAAAAACTCACCGATATAAAAGGCTTCTATTTTAAGTATATTTTTAATTTAGGAAACTGTCAATCTATTAATGCACTACTACTTATGCACTTTTCACTTGTCGCTTGTAAACAGGCTGAGTTTAGATTCGTGAAAAATTACAAATTTGCACTGTTCGAGTGTTGTCATTGTGTTTCAGAGAGTAAATGTCATGAATAAATTTGACATTAAACATAATCCAAGTTGAAGTGTTACATCATTTTCAGCCCCCTTTTTGGCTTCTGTATTTGGTAGCAGGCCAAACTGACCCAGACCATGCAGAATAATGTCGTATTTTAATTATACAGCACAGAAAGCTATGTAGTCTCTGTAAGTAGGTCTAGGGAAAAAAAAAATCGGTATTGGTATCAGTTATCGGCCAAATAAGTTTTAACATATCGGCATATCGGATATCGGCCAAAAATCCAATATTGTGCATCCCTAGTAACAGGGGTATTTACTTCTTTCTATATGGCAACTGTTCTGAATGATTTTCACTTGTAAATAATAGTTGTTTGTCATTTAAAGTTTTATTTGCTGGGGGTGAAAAAGTGTACGTATTCTTACTGTGACTGTTCTGTAGAGACATTGTTTTGGACGGGTACGGTGACCTGACTAATATTCAGTCCGGGGTGATCACTGCTCCCAGAGCAGGTGTACGATCTATTTAACTAGCAGTAACCTAATTTTACGAGCTAGGAAGTACATTTTTCAGTAATCGTCCTAAAATCACAGAAGTGAAAGACTACCTACCTTAATTTTTCCTGTGACTCCATGACATTGATCTCAGCTCAGACAGTTTGTATATTATTTGTCAAAAAAATATACATTTTGGTTGACTTGTTTGAACATTTGCCCTGTTGGTCAGGTTCCCGAACCTTTGGGCTGGGCCCTGATGCCAGTTTCGCCAATCGGAGAACTTTTCGGATGGCTCTTTGCGCTGGAGATTCCCAACAGCCAAGCAGGATTTAAAGTCACAGGTGATCTTGTTTTTAACTGTGTTCATTAATAAATCTGCTGCCTTGGACATCTTGACTGCCACATCTGCAGAAAGCTGTGTTGAGGACACTCTGTGTCTTTCCGAGTGTTTTTAGTCACTCAGCCAGCTGTTTTGTCTCGGGGGACATGAAGCAATATGAGGCTTCCACCTCCAGTCTTTAATAGGAAACAGCTGCATGTGTGTTTGTGTCTGAAAGCAGATTTTCCACCTTTTTAACTTCTGCACTGTTTTGGTATAAATTATGACACAAACAGCCAAACGAAAGAGTGGCTGATTTTTTGAGCAATTGTTCTACCAGGTGCTGAGTTCAGTCGTCATGCCGAGGTGCTGTTTCACCCTGGAAACCACCGCCTGTCAATTGTGCAAACTGGCCGTGGCCTTGACGAACACAACCACCTCAGCGTGGATACTGTCGTCAATGGAAACGTGCCATTGCTGCCACCTGGAGCTGAAGTTACCATGGAGCCCTTCAAGGAGATCTACCAGTACTACCCATCGGGTACACAGAGTACCATGCAAGAAAATGTTGGCCTTTTTAGGCAAAAGAGGCAAAAGCATCTCACTCTCTCTTTCTACTTTTCCCAGTCGTCACCTCCACCTCAGTGAGGGAGTTTACGGTCGTTTCAGCAGAGCGAGGCTCAGAGTCCTACACCTTCCAAATGAAACAGAACATCACCTACCGCGACTGTCACCACGACAACCATGCCAGCATCCCAGAGACTTTGCAGATCACCATGGAGAGGGTGTTCGTGATGTACGTAAAGGAGGAGCGGATACTGAGATATGCTGTCACCAATAAGATCAGCCCGGTTGGAGGTGAGCGGCCAGATTTTGCCCCAGTTGACCCCTTTCCCTACCACTTAGCCCTATCCTTATGTTTTGCATCTTCACACTTGGGGGGATAGGGGTGTCTCAATACTTAGTCATTTAAGGAAAAGGTGTAGGACTATGTTTATCATTCAACAAAAATATCTGCGAACTTGTCGCTTTTCGGCGAAAATCGCCAATTTAAATCAAAAATATGTCATTTACATAAATAATCTAGATCTGAAGAGTTTTTTTTTTTTGAGAGGGACGGGGGTGTCAGAGGCGTGGTAGATGGCATAATTTCCCATTAACTGGACTTATGTAGCGCTAAGCTAGCGCTACGTAGGTCGCTCTAGCTAGCTTGTAAGCGCTAAGCCAGCACTAGCGCATTTACGTAGTGCTAGGTTAGCGCTACGCAAGTGCCGGCAGAGAAGCAGAGTGCTTTGTGTGTAGCATCTTAGCTAGTGCATGGGTATTGCGTGCCTCTAGCTTAGCGCTATGCACAGTATTTAAGAAATGTATGTGATTGTATACCTGGATTATTGAGCATGGACTTTTTTGGTATTTAAAAAATGAGTTGTTGCTATTAGCAAAATGCTAATTTGCTTGTTTATTTTTTGGTTGACTAGCCTATGTATGTCCTAATTAAATGAACATATGTTGGTAAATGTCTTTTTTTATCTGAAGCATGTTGTTTTTCCCCTATTTTTTTCTTGGATTATACCAAAATTTACCTGTATACATTTTTCATCCTTTGTGAGTTTGCATGTATGAACAAACATTATGACAACTAACTTGGTGTTTTCCAGGGTATTACGTTAGGTATCGTCATCGATCATTATTAGCAAGCATCCAAACTAACCTTGAATATCAGAGTTTCTTGTAGTTAAATATTACATTACACTTGAAGAGTTGTACTATTGTGTGAAGGAATATTGTAATAAGGGCAGGAGAATAGAGTAGAGGTGGGATTCAGCCTTAACAGTGGGACAGTTAGCACTTGTATGGCAAAGCTTTAAACACAGATTTTCCCCGTTAGCGCTTGGAGCATGTGTTGTAAATGGCTCTCAGCTGCTGCCACACCAAATCTCAGCTCAAAATCTGTTCAGTTTTAGCCTTTCATGGTGGTACGTGATTACACTGATTAATTCAGTACCGAGTCAAAGGGTGGGAACTTCAACCGTTTGTACTAAACTTTGGAACGACTTTGAGACACGCTTCTATACTGGATACACATGCTCATCTCTGAGTGATCTGAGATTTTAAATTATATTCGCTGTCAGTAAAACATGACTTAAAGGCTTGACTATCGTGTCATGTCTGAAGGGGGGGTTGGACACGATGTCGGTATGGACCACCGTCAGGTTATGACACAGATTTATTGTTTCATCTTGAATTTCGGCCAACAATATGGAAAAAATTATGTCTGACTGACTTCCTGAATTCATTCCAGAGTAATTTCATCTGTTTCTAAGTGGTTTATCACACCAGAGGTTTTGAAAATGTGATCCCCCCCCCCCTCCTGGAGAGCTCCGACTAACACTCAGACTAGTAATTGCAGCTCAGCCACAGAAACCACGGCCAAAGCACGATGCAGTGTTGGAAAGAGCTACACTAAGCACTACAAGATGAGGATGGGATCATTAAACACTAAACTCAGTGACAACGACATTCTCTTTTGTTTAACCACTTCTGTTTCTGGGTTTGTTGCCAATCAAATGCTGCAGACCACTTTAAATATAATGTTAGATACCGTTTGTGTCACAGCTGACTTTATGTATTGCCTTGACTCTTTGCTGTCATTGTTAAAAATGTTACTTTGTCTTTGCCGTCTGGAATTTATTTATATTTAGTCAAAATTAGCATCGTAAGCCTCTCCCTATATGGTAAAGATGTATTGTCGTCACTCTTGAAGGCGCCTGTGGTCGTCCATGATGGACCAGTCAAGCCACGCAAATCTTGCAACAATGTAAGCTTAAACAATTGAAGTTGACATTGAGTACATCAGTGACTAGCAGCAGTGGCATTAGTTAGAGCAGCGTTTATCAAACTTTTTATTCTTTCAACTACTAAAAGAAGAGAGAATGAGACTTGTGACCAGGGCTTTATTTGAGCCGGACCCTTCCGGAACAGGATCTGGGAACTCTCTTATTTTGACAGGGAGCATTCTGGTAACTATTTGCTTGGATCCGGTAACTCGCACACTTACTAATAATAAAGTTATGGGCAAATATGACTGCCTTGAACGAATAAAATCTACATAGGACATGCAATATTTTTGTCTGTCTAAACAGGTTTCACTTGTGAGTCTTCGAGGCTCAATGTGATTTATCTGTCTAAATAAAAGTTGAATGAATGAAAAAAAAAATTGAAAATAATTACATAATTAAAAAAAAAACATAATAGTCACTTACGAACTTCCTAATATCACATAAGAGCTGCCCCTTCAAGTAAGCATTTCCGCTTCTGCCCTTAAAAATATATTCGCCCCTAAAAGCACAGTCATGGGCAGTTTAATTAAAAACCTGAAAATATAATTAAACAGCACAACTAAATCGCAAATCGGTTTTACAGTTTAAGTTGGTCATTAATACATTTTTGATTATTTATTAAAAATACGAGAGGAATGTTTGATACGTTATTTTGTATATCACGTATCAAAACGATGCCAATTTGTCAAAAATAACCGCGATCAAAATGTTGAAAAGTCAGTCGGATTTACTTTCATAAAAAAAACAAAAAAACTTCTCTTTGTACAACTATACAACCGAGAATTGAAACACACAAAGACAGTGGCAATGGAGATAGTTCTCGACGCGCACGTGGGGGCGGGGGGTAGGATGCTTGAGAGAAGCGGAGCGTGCTCCATTCACACAAGGAGAGCTGTTGGTCAGGATACTTCTTGTTGCTCTCTGAAATAGTTATTGAATCAAATTTTTACTTATGTAGGTAAACGTAGATGTTTAGCCACCCGTTAAAATACACCAGAATGCAGGAAATGGCATCTACAGAACTTTATTCAAAATTTTCTGAGGGAGGACCCCCCACCCCAAAAAAAGCACCTACCCCCCACTATTTACATTCCGGCATCGATTGGTTTACAAATTAAGCACTGCTTGTGAGTGACCCTGGTTTTTGCTGAAGTACAGTTTGCAAATACTCCTGATACAGTAGTCCCTCGCTACTACGCCGTTCGACTTTCGCAGACTCGCTCTTTCGTGGATTTTCTACAATTGTCAACTTTAATATTATTCACACGATTTAGGATGTTATGGGATAAAAAGTTAATGAAAAAAAAACTTCAGACAGGTGCTGCCATTTTTTTAGTTTTCTTTCGACAAGCCTACACCGTAACGGCAGTCAAAAAGAACTACATTACCCTGAAACCAACTGTGCTTCCGGCCGCTACTTACTGCCAAAATGGAGGGATTGTTTTGCAACGCAAATCTATGCTATCTATGAAGCTTACAGAACTGACGGGAAAGTCTCAAATAATCCCGAAGCTTCCTGAAGCTCAATTATCCACGTGCATATCAACTTGAATGGGGCGGTGGACTTCATCGCTGCAGGGTAGGTCTGCCGAACTAGCACCAAACGGATGAGAAAATGTTGCAGTACTGTACAGTACATATACGTATGTTGTTAAAATGATGTAGGTTTAAGAGTTTAGAACACTGCAAGAGTGTGGGAAGGGTTTATAAAGCCTTAAAAATATATACATACTAAAATAAATATAGCGTTGCTACTTCCGGGGTTTTTCACCTATCGTGAGGTGTTTGTGGAACGTAACCCCGGTGATAATCGAGGGGCTACTGTATACCAGTTACCAAAGAACCTCATCAAACACTGTGATTTTTTTAAAATCCATTTACTGCATTTCTTTTGTCGTAACAGTTAAATGTAAATTTGCTGTTAGCAACCATTTTTAAAGTTAGAATTATTTCTGTAGACATTCTCAAGACCCTTGCTTGGAGTTTCATAATCCCAAGCGATGCCCCCCTAGCCCCAAGATTAGGAACCACTGGGCTAGAGTGAAGTGCTGCTTAAGTTTTCTATTTTGTACCTACCGGTACTCACCAACTTGACTCAGTGACTACCCCTCAATCTAAAAAAAAAATTGGAATGTTTCTCTTCTTTTCAGGTTAATATTTTTATCACATCGTCATTTCATCAGCCCTTATCCAGGCACGGGACGTATTCAGACCCAGATTTTGAAATTTGTCTATAAATACGGCATGGGGGCCATGTGTTTTTTCTGTCATCGCACATTGATCTGCTGTATTTGATGAAAGCCAGTGTGTCATTGTGAGGCAAGATATTTCTAAAGATGGAGTGAAAAAAAAAAGAGTTTGGGACGAAAAGCTTTTTACCAGAGCTTTTTGATCTCAGACCAAGTTTCTGTTATTTGAACGTCAACATGTTGATTAAAAAGGTTATGACATATCTCTAACACACATGCTCACACACTGTCGTACACCCAGAACACAGCTGGAGGAGCTTTCTGGGATCAGAGGTTTCGTAAATATGGGTTAAGTGGTGGAAAAAGGACGCATACGTGTGTATATGTTCTTGGGTTCCTACATTTTCTGGGAAATAATATTGCAGCAAATGACAGATTTTCTAAAAAACAAGTGGGGTGGGGGGTTGCTGGGCAGAATACTTGCCCTGTGAAGTCATGAGAATCAGAGACTGCAGACAGGCTTTAGGCACTGAAGTGATAACACAAACAAAAAATAAATTAATTCTTCTTGAGTAAATGTCTGCTGTCTTCCTTCAATCCCTGGTGGGAGGCTTTAAAAACACTGGATCTGACAACTCCCAGAATACAGCAGCAATAGAAATCCACTGTCTGTTAAATGGCGTTAGCCTTAACACCATGTTCGGCATTTGTTGTTCTTTTACAAAACATCAATGGTGATCAATTAACTATTAGATGGGTACCTATTCTTGACTAAAACAACCAGATTTCATTGCCAGCCAGTCATTATCTTTACTCACTTCTTCTTTTTTGGGTCAGGGGGGTCACTGGTGCCCAGCAGTGGCAGGTGGGACATGTCTGGAACACCTCACAAAGGACTGGAACACCTCACAAAGGAGGCGTCCAAAAGGCATCCTAACCAGACGCCCGAACCACCTCAACTGGCTCCTCTCGGTGTAGAGAAGCAGCGGCTCTACTCTGAGTCCCTCCCGGATGACCGAGCTTCTCACCTTATCTCTAAGGGAGAGCCCAGACACCCTTCAGAGAAAACTCATTTCGGCTGCTTGTATCTGAGATCTCGTTCGTTTGGTCACAACCCAAAGCTCATGACCATAGATGAGGGTGGGAACGTAGATCGACCAACAAATTGAGAGCTTCACCTTTTGACTCAGCTCCCTCTTCACCACGACAGACCTGTACAGCGCCCGCTTCACTGCAGACGCCGCACCTATCCGCCTATCGATCTCTCGCTCCATTTTTCCCTAATTCGTGAACAAGACCCCAAGATACTTAAACTCCTCCACTTGGGGCAGGACCTCCTCCCCGACCTGGAGAGGGCACTCTACCCTTTTCCGGCTCAAGACCATGGCCTTGAATTTAGAGGAACTGATCCTCATCCTGGCCGCGTCACACTTGGCTGTGTACAGTCCAGAGTGAGAATGAGAATGTAGCTGTAGGCTAAAAGCACTTTCTACCACACTGGAAGGAGTTATGGGGATTCAACCGATCTCCTGAGTGGAAACTAGGGTTAGCTCCACCCTGTTAACAGAAACGAATGCCCTGGCAACTGAACTGATACCCTGTTGAAAACTGCTAGCACTGATGTAACACTAAGCTAGCAGCACACAATAAAGATGTGCTAGCTGGAAAGCTACTAAGGTTGTGCTCCGCTTCCCCCACAATGAGCCGTGTAACCCATATATGTACGTATAGATACGTATTCATTCAACCTTTATTTATACAGGTTAGCCTCATTGAATCACAAGGACTCATTTTCAAGAAAGACCTGTTTTAGACAGACAACATATGTACATCCATCCATCCATTATCTTCCGCTTATTCCGAAATCGGGTCACGGGGGGCAGCAGCTTGAGCAAGGAGGCCCAGACATCTCTTTCCAGAGAACCTTTTCAGAACCTCACCCTCGACCTGAAGAGAGCAATCCACCCTTTTCCTGTTGAGGATCATGGCCTCAGATTTGGACATACATACAGACAACAATAATTCAACAAAAAGCAATTAAATCCAAGTAGTAATAAAAACAGTGTATATATATATATATATATATATATATATATATATATATATATATATATATACGTATTTATGTCTATCTATGTCTAACCTTCACCCACCCCGCTCATAAACTTTTGGCACAAACTGTGCGCAACTCGACAAAAATCGCCAAAGAGATGAGCACCCTGCCAAGGCAAGTAATGTAGGGGAAACACTGAAGGTCAAATATCATATAAAGTATTTGCTTGTCCAGGCCATTGCAATGGATTGCTTTGTATTTGCTGTTTGTCTATGGGTGTATTTTTTTCCATTCAACTTTTATTTATACAGGTTAGTCTCATTGAGTTACGAGGACTCATTTACAAGAGGGACCTGTATAATGTGTCATATGATGTACTCTTGTTCATTTGCTGCCCTTTCAGCCTTTTGTTTTGTTATTATATTCATTTTTGTGTAATCAGTCTGTTCATTCAGTCTTTTTCTTTGAGTCCTTACCACTTTCCTATGACTTTTCAATACACTAAAATTATGTTTTCAATGAGTGGGGAAAAGTCATTGACGACAGGAAGATAATGCCATGTTTTCCAGTTGGATTATAGAAGTGCACCTTCAGCTTACTCCCATGAATCTTTTGCGAATGAATGAATCTGTGTGTTGAGAGAGAAGCTATGTAAGAAGCAACAGGTGGGAAGCGGCAGTCCTCATTTTGATGGTGTGGGGTGTGTTTGTTCTTCACCCCTCTTCCCCTTCATCCTCTCTCTGTCTCTAATTATCCCTCAGCTTTTTCTCTAGCCCATGTGCATCTCAGCCTCTCATCTGCCCTCCTTCCTGGCCACATTGCACTTTGAAGAGTCTGCCTCCCTGGTAAAGAGCCAAAATTGCTCTCTGGCCTGAGGAGGTTTGAGCTGTGCATTTTATTTGAATCAGGAATGTCTCAGGCATTGTTTGTTTCAAATAACGCCTCGATTGTAACGAAAAAGCAAATTCTAAAACCGCATCACTGAAAACAGATACATGTTCGCGGTGTAATCTTGTGTTGACTTGATTGCTGTACAGTTGGATGTCAAAATGCACGAGGGAAAGTAAACCCACAGTAATGTGTGGTATTTTTTTTTAAAGTGTTGCGTTTTTATACGAACCAACAAATGGGATGTTAAAATCAAGTAAGACCAGAAACAAGACAAATAAAGTGTTTTTGAGGTTCAGGCACAAATTTCTCACTAACCCAACCATGCCTTGGTGTTTTAGTCGCCTTGTCGCCCATGACGATTCTACACGGAATCATTCTGAAAATTAGTCAGAGGTCTTTTTGGGGAAATTGTCTGTTACACAATGCCATGAGGAAACACGTATTTGCTGACTCATTCATCTGCCTGTGTGTAGTCCTCTGTCCGCCGTGCATGTGCGTTTTACTTCATCCATATGGTTTATATATCGAGAACATAAAGGGGACTCCCTTCTTCGAGGAAACCATTGCATAGGAATTCATCCATCGTGATTTTACATGTGCGTTTGGTTAAGCTGTCCTGTAATCATTGCTGTAATCATCGGGATGTTACCCAGGAATATTGAGTTAATTTCAGAACATATGGAGAGTTTCAGAACAAACAGAGCAGATTTTTATTTTTTTAAGATTTATTCTATTAAAAATCACTGTGCAAAACACCCTTTTCCAGAAAACGTTCTTCTTGAACTCCTTGTGTCCTTTGTAGCTGATTCTTCAGAGGACGAACTGGTCAACCCCTGCTACTCTGGGAACCACGATTGTGACACCACAGCCCAGTGCATCCCACAGGAGGGCCAGACCTTCCGGTGCCAGTGTGCTACTGGCTATAGAGGAGATGGACGCAACTGTTACGGTAACGCCATCTGTTTCTCTTTGCTGTTTGTACTTGTGGACTTACATTTTGGAGTATATCGAGCAAACATAGTAGAGTAAGATTACCCTCTTTCCATTGTAGAGTTTTACATTTAAAGAAGTATTTTTTTATTCTTTATCAAGTCTTCAAATCATATAAACTGAGCAAAAACACAGATGTAGCGTATAAAAACTGAATCCAATTCCACCGACTTCGGTTGCCGATATCGATCTTCCCAGAATTGTTCAAGTTCAAGAATCTTTATTATCCCCAAGGGGTAATAATTTGTTTCACAGTCAGTAGGTACACAAAACATCCATACTAGAAAAGACATTGAGACATTAAAATAACAGTACAGAAATCATCAATGTTCGTTGATCATTCATCCCTGTAGCCTGATCGCTACAGGGATGAATGAGTTCTTCAGTCTGTTCGTTCCACATCTGGGCAGCAGATACCTGCGTCCACATGGAAGCAGATTGAACATCCCAACATGCAGGACTTCACCCCAAGGACAGTGTACAGTTCTGAGAGAAATTACAAAAAAAACCCCAGAAAGCTACATATCAGAATCTACAAACCTCAGTTAGCGTAATACATATTGATGTTCATGACAGGGCAACCAGATAAAGACTGTACAAGTGTAGCTTGTTTGGAAGGATGGCAGAATCATTGCTCAGGTTTGTCAGATGAGACCAAAACTGACATGTCAAGTAGAATGTTCAAGTCATACATTCCATAAAAAAAGATGGACAAAATGTTTGGTTTACTGCTGCTGCCGTGTAGTGTTTTCAGCCAGACATCCCATGTCTTTGCATCAGGAATGTTGGTCTTTACGTCCCGACTACACACCTTCTCTATTCACTACGTCCCATGTCAATCACAAGCTAATATGGCATTTTTTAAGCCTAAAAAAACCTAAATTAAACTAAATATATAGAACAACATATATGGTTCATCAGCAAAGTAAAGACTACGTGCCTCAACAAAAAAAATAACAACTTGGAAAAACAATTACCTGAAGTGTCTTATTTGCTCGCATAGAGGGGTGGAGTTAAAAATCGTACTGTGCTCATACTCTGTGGCTTCATCTTCTGGGTTCTGGTCCTTGATCTAGCTATGATATACGTTAATGGTCCTTACTGGAAAACAAAATGGAAGCTTTTATCAATAGCAATGCACAGCATATCAGCACAAACACCTCATATTAACTATTTAGCACGGTGGTGGTTGGGCTAGTTTTGCATCTGTCTGACAGCTGACGCTTGGATCAAACTGGGTCATGATGCAACAGGACAATGATCCAAACACAGAATTGTTGTATTGTAACAGTCCAGTCGATGTCCAGACCTTAACCTGGTTGAAAAGTTGAGGTAGGACCATAAGAGAGCTGTTCAGAGACCTCAATGAACTGAAGCAAGAGTGGGCCAAAATCCTCCACACCCATGTGTCAGAAGGATAAAGTCATACAGAAGATAATTACTTGAGCGTACCTGGTTTTTCTTTGGCGTGTTGGCTTTTGTCAGTTAAACATATACCCATGCTGCACATGTTGTTGTTCATTTTATGTTGGCGCACTCCCTTCTTACCATGGCTGTTAATTTCCACATTTAAGTACACGGGTTTGCTAATGATGTGTTATTGCCTTTTCTCACACTAATGGTCTTGGCTTCACACAGACGCGCACATATTTAGGGGAAGACAGTTAAGGCAGTGCGTCTGTGTTTCGTCAGCATCTGCCCGTCTAGTGTTGACGGTTCAAGTTTGGACTGGATGAATGGAACCAGCGGTACTGTCATCTATCCTCTTATCAAAATGATTTCACAAGCTGTAGGAATTTCAAGGACCGTTAGCTGGTGAGCGTCTTGTCAGTACGCCTGCAGTTGGTCTGTCTCTCCTGCTGACAGAACTGAGAAGGCCCCCGGCGCAGTCTCGGCTCCCACAGGAGGATCGTAGTATTTCCCACCGATTGCACAACTCCTTTTACAACCAACAGTCCAGGTGTTGTTGCAGTACATGCTATACTAACAATCATCGACCTAATTACAGCTTTTGTTTCCATATGTATGGCGCCCCATGTTGATTTCAGACAACGTATACCTGGTTTACTGGTAAAAACATCACATTATCTTGTTCTCTCTTTGATTCAGACGTCGATGAGTGCGCTGAGGGTCTGAGCTCATGTGGTGAGAACTCACAGTGTCTGAACCTTCCTGGTAGCCACCGCTGCCAGTGCCAGAGGGGTTTCGAGTTTGTATACGACAGGCGTACCTGTATTGGTGAGTAGAAGGTTTCTGAGTTTGTAGCTGCTCTCATCTAGGTGTTTGGAAGTTGCTTAACATATTCATTTTTGGACTTTCGTGATTAACTTAAACTGTTCTTATTATACGCCCATCAAAGGTGGACGTATTATGGTAAACTCTCTATCCCTAAACTTTCTCTTGTCATACCCATAACTTCTGATCTGCTGAAGATAATTGAAAATTAATATGCTTATGCATCATCACTAGACGGAGTCTACATACATGTTTCTTCATCCCAGCTCCAAGGTCAGGGTAACAAATCAAGGTCAAAGTTTATACAAGGTCTTTTGCTTGTCAAGGCCAGAGATTGCTGTATAATATTTTGTCAACTGGCGTATAACGTGCCGTTTGCTGTACTCTTGTTTCATTGTAGGATGATTATACAACATACAATTTTAATGATTTTTTTAAAAAATGGGAATTGTGTGCACAAGTTACATTTTATTGTGAATTAAATTTATACACACACTCTTTGACCACATGGTCTTTGCAGTTAAAAACAATCTTTTGACATAATTCTGGGTGGATAATTGACCACTCCTATCGGCAGAATTGGTGGAGTTTATTTACAATGGTTGGTTTGCTTGCACTTTCAAATACAGTCCACATATTTTTACTAAGGTTGAGGTTGAGATTTTGGGAAGACTGTTCTAGAAGCTCAATGTTAGCCTCCTTCATTCAAACAGAAAGCAGTTTGGATGTGTGTTCAGGATCATTGTCCTGGTGAAAACCAGTTGCATCCAGTTGTCTAGCTGTTGATTTGAGGTGAAGTTGAAGAATTTGGAGGTAGACCTCCTTCATTATTTCATTCCCTTTGTGCACCAGTACCACAGTATGATAGTACTACCACCATTCTTGACAGTTGGGACAGTGCTCAGGTTAGAAACTCTGACCTTGACTCTTCCAAACATGCTATTGTGAACAAAAAGGCAACTCTTCGTCTCATTTGACAATAAACTTTGCTCCAGAAAGTATTTGGTTCGTCCACGAGGGCAGCTGCTAACTTCAGTTGAGCTTTTTGGAGCAGGGGCTTCTTTCTTGTCGGTATCCTCTCAGTCCTTGGTGATGTAAAGTTGGCATCACTGCGGACATTAATACTGTGGTTCCAACAGTTTCCAGTTCGTGGCAGGTTTGAGCCTTGGTGGTTCCTGGGTTGTTTCTGAACATCCTTTCTTTCCTAGCACTGGTGCTATCCAACACATCTTTTCAAAGCTGGGAAAAGGAAGATTTGAGCTGCAATCATTCATGATCACTAACAGAAGTTAAAAGGACTTAGCCATGTCAGAGTAAAAGACATTGTAGCTATTTTAGCACTACTGTACCTATTCCAATGTTTAGGTGAACGGTGTATATTTTTGAGCCTGTATGTAGACTTTTGATCCTGATGGTTTAGGCCCTAAACTCAAACTTATGCTTACATTTCTCTTTTTTTTTTTAAATCATCAAGGCTATACCCTGTGTAGTCATTCAACAGCTTAGATACAGTAGATCATTAAAAGCCCCAAAACATTCACATTCATGGCCGTCGGGTGTATGTAAACTTCTGACTGCTGCTACATCTACAATAACTAGGATACTTATTCATTTTTTAAACAACAACTCCACTTCAAAAGATCAGAACTTCTTCTTTCAATTTATTTCTGAGTTCAGTTAATTAAAACAGTGTAATATAAAAGCAACAAACCCATCTCGCCACTACGGCGCTCTTATTCCGTCCTTTGTTGGTTCTAATCGCTGCTTCGGATCATGTCGTGCTTCGTGTCCCTCACTGAGTAGAAAATTTGGAAGAGGCCTGAGTTCAGGCAGGAGACTTCTTTCACAACAGCAGTGCACAGCTGCAAAAGCTTGAAGCACACAGAGAGGTGAGGCGGGATGATGAACGAGAGAACACGAGAGGCTGAGAGGAGGCAGGACGGGGACTGAAGGGGAAGACACTAGTTTGCTGCTTTGGAATGTGTGGAGGAGTGAGGTCCTGTGTATATGTGTGTGTCCTCTGTTCACCCATCACTGTGAACTTGGGGTGAACTTCCACTGAACCCTCACTACCTCCCTCTTTGATAAATGACGTGTCCCTTTAAATCATATTTAGCTTACATTTAAAATCCCTCTGAAGTGAATTCAACGTCATTAAAAGCTTCCAAACTGCAAAGTACGTCTTAATCACCCACCACTGATGTTTATTACCAGGTGTAGCAGACCAAATTAACCCCTGCCCAGATTAAATCCGGGTTTAGTTTAGCACAGACCAGAGTGTACCCCTCCAGGACAGATTATACCCATCTAATGTGGTAGTCAATCTCAATTGATGTCTAATTAAACGTATCAGTGGAATTGTGATTTAGGACTTAATTTTAACAGTAAATTGGTTGAGTTTTCGATTTGTCATCAAGACATGACAAATATTAGGTATTTCTAGTGATAAAATAGTCACAACCTGAAAATATACAGCCTTCTTAACTAAACTGAGGATTCAACATGGCTGCCACTGGCCAACAATGCATGCAAGGGAGTAGAGTTTGGTGGGACGAGGAGGGTTGGTTAATTTATTTTCCAGGTTTTACCTATTACTTTTTATATTATACATTTTTACTGTTTTATGAGCTTTTTATTTATTAAATAATTAATAAAATTCAGTATTTCTTGTGTACAGTATATGACTCAACACTACTACAAGGGTGTATAATCTGGTTGGGGAATAAACTGGACCATGTACTTTTGGTATAATCTGGCCAAGGACCCTTTAACTCCTTATATAGTGTGGACTGGAGGCATACTATGGCCTGTTACACCAGGTCTGTGTGTGTTCGTTAGCAAAATGTGACTCATGCTGTTAAAATGAGTTACAACAAGAAAATGTTTATAAGCCTGTAGAAGGAGTACGTATTACGGTACCATCTACGTCTGTACTTCTGTAAACTTTCTCTTGTCTGGCCCATAACTTCTGGTCTGCTCAAGATACTTTAATGAAACTTGTTATACTTATGCATCATCACTAGATGGAGTGTCCCATTACTGCTCATCCTCCCAGTTTCAAGGTCAAGGTCACAAATTAAGGTCAAATGTTATTCAAGTTCTTTCCTTGTCCGGGCCATAACTTCTGATCCTCTCAAGATAATTTAACAAAACTTGATACAGATTTGTACCACCACTACATGGCACATTGTGTAATCTTTTCATCACCCCTCTTCAAGGTCATGATCACCAATCAAGGTCAAAGGTGCTTGTCCAGTTCATTTCTATAAATTCCTATGTAATAGTTTTTCAAGGAGCATATAATATAGCATATGCGGTACTCTCTTCCAATACCGATGTGTTATTTTTAGATTATCCATCTCAAAACTTACAAATAATCTGAGGTTTGCTGAAATTTAGTGATTTATCGCTTGGCAACAAGATAGTTTTTTTTTACAAGAGTACCGGTTTGAAAACACAATTTTTTCTTGGTCTGAAGTGATGTTAGGAATTCCAACTCTATATTTAAGAATGGAAAGCCCCAAGCATCACATTGAAGCCAGACATTATATAAAGGGATTTCCTGGTTCTACAGCAGCCAGCAGAGAAAAATTATTAATTTGAAAGGACATTAAGGAAGACAGTTAGGAAGAATGGATGCTATTTTAGTTCCTAGAATCACTAGATGGTGTCTTTATGGACTAATTTTTACACAAATCTCAATTATGAAAATCATTGACTACTTAGCGTTTTTGTTGTCTTTTTGCACTGCAGTCGGGGCTTATTCTGGCTCATTTTTCAACACTGGTCACAAATGTCTCATAACCCACTGGAGGTCTTTTGGAGTCAACCAAATTCAAGGCGACTGCCACAGCCAATTTTAAATCGTCAAACACAAAAACAACCATAACTCAGTTGACTTTCTAAGTATTGACACAAATTTTGGTGCGGTAGTAGCTGAGACCCATCCCCTGCACATACTTCAAGTACTAAGAGATCTCAAAGTTCATGCTCAATCATCCAGATACAAAATCCAATAATGGTCAGTCAGGTCATATGGACAGTTTTTTTTTTTTTTTGTGGAAAGACGTTTCGCCCTCTATCCAGAGGGCTTCATCGGTCTGAGAAGTCCCAAGAAAATTGTTTTCCCCATTAAGCAGTAAACTCCTTTAGTGGACAAACCAGTTTTCTGGTGATAAGCTGGTTTCTGGGGGCTGTCCTGTCCCCCGTCGACTCCTCCCAGCCAAAGTGGTACAAGACATCAAAGTTCATGCTCAATCATCCAGGTACAAAATCCAAAAATGGTCAATAAGGTAATCTGGACCTGTTTGACCATTATTGGTTCTTTTTTGTGGAAAGACATTTCGCCCTTTTTTTGGAGGGCTGACCTGATTGACCATTAATGGATTTTGTACCTGGATGATTGAGCATGAACTTTGTTGTCTTGAACACATTTGACTATGGCTGCCTGCCTGGGAGGAGTCAATGGGGGACAGGACAGCCCCCAGAAACCTTCAGGAAACTGGTTGGGCCACTAAAGGAATGTACTGCTTAGTGGGGAAAACAGTTTACTTCGGACTCCTCTGACCGATAAAGTCCTCTGGATAGAGGGCGAAACATCTTTCCACAAAAAAGAAACTGTCCAAATGACCTGACTGACCATTATTGCACTAAGAGATCCTTTAAGATCTTTTAAAAAGTATGCTATTAACTGTTGGTGTCTACTTTGTCAGTTAGTAAAATATCTCTTGACCCACTGGACAAGTTTGAATGAAACTCTCAGAATGTTATCATTGGATTTTCTTTTACAACTGATAAGTTTTGGAGTCAATTCAAAATGGCTCCCAAAACCAATTGATCTTCTGAACCACAGTTTTACAGATATTTAGCTAAAATGTATGTCAAGATGTCTAACCCAGCTAATCAAACTTAGCAAACACAAAAATAACTATAACTCAATCAGTTCTACAGAGAGTGAGCTAAAATTTGGTGTGGTAGTAGCTGAGAGTCATTCACAAAATATACTTTGAGCCTGATATTGCTCTTAACATTAATTAGAAGGTATGAACAAAACAGCTACAACTCTTTGTTTCTCAATGTAAGATAATCTTAGGTTAAAACCTGGCATACAAATAATTCCAGATCTTGAATTTCTGGAATATTTGGTTCATTTTTACTGTTTTTTTTAGACATTGATGAGTGCAGTTCCTCTCCGTGTCACGTCAATGGTAGATGTGTGAATGAACTGGGATCCTTCCACTGCCAGTGCCAGCCTGGGTTTCATGGTGATGGCTTCTACTGCTCTGAACTAACAGGTTGGTAACAGAACCATGGGTACCTGATGATGCGAGAAGGTTCAAGATGACAGATCAAATGTTCGTTGATTCACAGGTCGCCCAAAGAGCCAGTGTGAGCAGCACAGAGACAGCCTGCAGAGTGGCGGACCTGATGGATTCCCAAGTGTTGGAGCCTACGTTCCTCAGTGCGATTCTGATGGGCAGTACCGATCACAGCAGGTGGGCTCTGCCTACAGTACATGGTCGACTAATGACCAGAGTGTTTTGGCAGGTGGATGGCTCTGTTTTGGTGGGTGGAAGACTGTGCTTTGGCAAATGGATGACTGGTTTTGGTGGATATATTTTTTATTTTGGCAAGTGGATAGATTTTTTTCTTGGTGGGTGGATGACTGGTTTTGGTGGGTGTATGGGTGTGTTTTGGCAGATGGATGAATGCAATGGATTAGTGGACAGATTTTGATTTGTGGCCGGTGGATTTATTATTTTTTTCTTAGGGGGGTGGATGGCTTGTAGTCTCTGTTTCCCTTATAGAAACGGAGAAGTCCTGCGAACATTTGAAGATATTTTGGAGACTGCTTTGGGAATGCTGTTTGCTAACTAGTTGCTAACAGTATTAGCCAAGTGAGATACAGCACGGTCAATGAACCGTGGACAATGATGGTCAACAAATAGCAGTTTTTGAGTTTGGATGATTTTGTTGCAGTGCCACACCTCTACAGGATATTGCTGGTGTGTGGATAGTAGGGGACAGGAAAGACCAGGAACCAGGACTCCACCTGGTAAAGAGCCTCAAGACTGTGATACAACAGGTATAACTTCTTTCAGAGTAATATTCTGAAATACCAAATTTATGGATGTGAATGTAAAACAGATATTGTGTTTTACTTTTTTATGTGTCTCCTTAGATGAACCAGGCCATCCTAAGACTCAGTGTGAACACCACAGAGACAGTGTTCAGACCACCAGTCCAGATGGACACCATCTTGATGGAGCCTATGTTCCTCAGTGTGATGAACATGGACAGTATCAACCACAGCAGGTTGGCATCTGCTAAAACTTTTCTTCATTGTTTAGTTTTATGCATAATAATTGTAGTTTAAAATTCATTGAAGTGGGATTCTGTGGAAAGGTTGAAAACAAACATCTTATTTGTTGTAAATAGCTTATTAAGCAACTTTTGTTTGGAGAAATTGTTTATTTCTGACTAGATAGATGAGCTAACTGCTAGATCTAAATTTTCTATTTATATTATTCCACAGTTCAAGTATTTAACATATGACAATATTATGTTTTAGTGCCATGGTTCTACTGGACATTGTTGGTGTGTGGATGGTCGGGGACAGGAGAGACCAGGAACCAGGACGCCACCTGGTAAACCACATGCAGACTGTAGCAGAGCAGGTGAGACCCATCAATGTACAGTATATTATAACTAGACAAAGACCATATCCAGAAAGTTGAAGCTTCAGAGAATGAGCACCCCCTAGTAGCTGGTTGCAGTACATATTTTAAGCCCCGCCCCTTTAAGCCAACAAAAGACGTTTTGCTGACTAAAAAAAAAACAAAACAACAAAACACTTCAGTTGTTGAATTTTTTTGATTCATGCAGTTCTTACCTTGCTGCTTATGTATATTTACAGACGAGTCAGAAAGACTTAAGACTCAGTGTGAGCACCACAGGGACAGCGTTCAGACCACCAGTCCAGATGGACGTCATCCTGTTGGAGCATATGTTCCTCAGTGTGATGGAGAAGGACTGTACACACCACTGCAGGTCAGCATGTAATGAGTAATTAAGAAACTGAAGCACGTAAGAACAAAGTCCATGCTCACGTAAGGCACGTAAGGTTAATTTCACTTCATTTATACTAATAACACAATGAATTACTCCTGGATGCTGTGAAATTTTACAGTGTCATGGTTCTACTGGGTACTGCTGGTGTGTGGACAGTAGGGGACAGGAGAGACCAGGAACCAGGACTCCACCTGGAACACCACCTGTAGACTGTGAAGAACCAGGTGTGTAAGACAAATGTACTTCAGTGTATGGATTTCTCTCCCTCAGCTTTGCTTCCCACCGGCCTGGTGTCGGTGTCAGCAGGTGGATTATGTCATGTCTTTCTGAAGCTCGCTTGTTAAACACCGACCTGCCAGCCCTGTAATTCCTCAGCTCACTGACAGCTCAGACAGCATGTTTATGTGAGCTCTGTGGGTTGTACACTGTTGGGGTCGTTGGGTCAGAGCTTTGGAATGCCTGGAGAAACAGGTGGGGATGACTGAGTGCAGTTGGAGGGGAAAAAAATGCAGTAGAAATGGGTCAAAGCTTTCAAAATGTGAAGATTTATAACAAGGATTATAATCCCTGTATGACTTCATGTTAGGTTCTTACAGTAGGTTGCAAAAGTATTCACCCTCTTGGTAACCTGTTTTGTTGCTTTAGAACCTGGAATTTATATAGAATTCAAATAGACAAAGCACGGTGGCTCAGTTGGTAGCGCTGCTGCCTCTCAGCGAGCAGGTCACCTGATTCAAATCCCAGCCGAGGGCCTTTCTGGGTGGAGTTTACATGTTCTCTTCATGCATGTGTGGGTTTTTCCCGGGTACTCCAGCTCTTACGGACCAAAAACATGCATGTTAGGCTGATTGGTATCTCTAAATTGTCTCTAGGTGTGAGTGAGAGAGTGAATGGTTGTTTGTCTCATTTGTCCTCATGTGGCCCTGTGATGGACTGGAGACCTGTCCAGGGTGTACCCTGCCTTTCGCATAGTAATGGCTGGACATGGACACTAGTGACCCCCGCGACCCAAAAAGGAAGAAGTAGGTGAAGGTAATGGATGGATTGAAACAACCAAAATGTGTTGTTTGCATATGTATTCAGCCCCGTTGCTTTGAAGCCCCAAACATTTCTTTCAGAATGCACATACTGACGTGTATAGATGTTTTTGGTACCCTTCCACAATAATCAAAGAAACTCCAGTCCCAGAAACTTTGGGGCTTGTATTTTGGTGAATTCCAATCTGGCTTTTTGTGTTTTTCTGGCAATAGTGGGGCCTCGTGGTACTTCTTCCATGAATCCAGTAGTGATTCAGAACATCATAAAGTGACCTAAGAGTTCAGCTTGAATGGTTTTGGATGGTTTCCTCAGCTCTTTTATTTTTACGATTTATGCTATTTGTCTGATCAACCGGGGGCTGCATTTTCTTTTGCGTCCATATCCTGGCAGTGTGGCTGCAATCTCTTGAACCTTATACTTTTTCTATGCCCAAGGAAAGATGGACATATTATGGTATAACTTCCATACATCCATAAACTTTCTCTTGTCCCACCTATAACTTCTTAAAATAATTTAACAAAACTTCATACACACATGCATCATCACTAGACAGAGTGTCTCATACTCTGTTCACCACGCCAGTTCCAAGGTTAAGGTCACAACTCAAAATAATACAATGTCTCTTCTTGTTCAGGCCATTGCTATAGATTGCTGTACAATAGTTTTTGGAAGTATAATGTACTCTTGCTAACTATATTGTTAGCTGTGGTTGCAGGGTCAAGAAGCTACTTGGAGATGGTCTTGTACCCTTTCCCTGAAACAAAGATATCTATAGTCTTCTCTCTGAGCTCCTCAAGTGGCTCTCACCTTTGTTTTCTCTTCTTCAGTGTGGTGCGCACAATGCTACAAAACTACCCAGTGGCTCTTTGTTCTCCTAAAAACGGCTGATGAAAAGCTTGAAGGCATGCTTGATACAAATTAACATCAAACACTTACATGACTCAAAGATTCATCGTCTCTTTAGGGTACCAACAAATCTATCCTTTTTATTTCAGCACATCTTGGTAAAATAAACAACAAATAACTTTTTCACACACTAAAGTCACACAGAGAAGCATTAAACAGTTGCTTTTAACCAAATTACCATTTTTTACAAGATTGGAAGCATTGTCTCAATGAGCTGTAAGGGTACCAACCATTTATCTGCATCTGTAATTAGCAATTTGCCATGAGCAGTCTACTGTAAAAACCTGCGAAAGTGTGAGTTCGCAAAAGTCGAACAGCGAAGTATCGAGGGACTACTGTACTGACAAACGTACAGTAAAGTTGGACAGATTAGAGAATAGCAGTTTATGGTTTTTATTATTGTTAACAGTGTTCGTCCATTAATTGGAGGTAGTTGGAATGGAGGAGTTTTAGGTATCCTTGTGTCTTGTTTACAAGTAATAGAAGTATGAAGCTGGAGATGATGGTCTTGGATCATCAGTTTGTCATCAATCATCAATTTGATTGTACCCAGTAATCAGGGTGATGCTCCTGGATGTTGATGTAGAAAAGGAACTGAGTTATAAGGCATAGCTCTTGATTTACTGGTCCATCCATGCTCAAACCCTCAATTATGGTCATAAGATCTTAACTGAAAGATTCTGGAACCAGGTGGATGACATGAACTCTCTAAGGCGGCTGAGCCCAATCTTAGGAATAGGGTAAGAAGCTTGGAGTGGAGACACTGCTCTACCCCCTTGAAAGAGTCAGTTGAGGTGGTTTGAGTATCCGATCAGAGTGATTTCTAGATCCCTCCCTTTGAAGGTTATTTCGGCACATCCCATTGGGAGGAGAGTTCACAGAAGTGAAGCGTTTGCTCTGTCTTTATAAGCAAATGTAATGAATAAGCGCTGCATACAGGGAAGGGAAGTTTGAGATTGTTATCATTGTATGTTCCCATACAATGGTAAAATTAGTTCTCTGCATTTAACCCATCACGCCTGAGATACACTCAGATGGAGCAGTGGGCAGCTATGTAAGAGCAGTTAGGGCTTAGGTGTCTTGCTCAGAGACACCACGACACGTGGGAATGGCTGAGAGTCGAACCGCAACTTTCTGGTCCCAAGTTGGCTGCCCTACCTCTACCCCATCTCGGCCCCCATACACATACAGACAGATTGTTACGGAAGCGCTTAACTGCCTTTTAACATATCAATGACACGTGCTCAATGATGTGTCACGTTGCGTATCATTGGGCACTTTTAAATGGGTATACGGAAATGTACATGTTTTTTCTAGTGGGTATATGCCGTATACCAGCATATCAAGCATACTACACCACTGCTTCAGATCAAACCCAGGATTAACTAGAAAAATATATCTTACAGCTTTCATCAGAAGGTATGCTTATTAAATGCCCAAACCACCTCAATTAGCTTATTTTGATTTAGAGCAGCAACAACTCTATGGGTTTCCCCCCTAATTGCTGAATTATTCACCCTGTATTTAAGGGTGAATCAATCCAGTATGTTGAGGGAGCTCATTTCAGCCACACATATTCACAATTACATTCTTTGCCCATAGCTTATGACCATAGGTAAGAGTTGGAATCTAGGTTGATAAGTAAAGTTTGAATGTGGTTGGTCACTGCAGATGCTGCCCTAATCTACGCATTCATTTTACCCTTACTTGTGAACAACACTGAAATTCTTGAATTCCGCCAGTTGGAGCATTGGCTCATTCTCAACCTGGAGTTGGCAATTCATACTTTGTTAAAAAAAAAAAAATTCAAAAACACTTGACAACAAAGATTGGAGCATTGCTCGTTCAGTTTTAAACCATGTTTAATTACTTTTAGATTCAACAGATGAAAAACTTTATAGTCAAATTGTAAAATATTCCTTTTTTGCGGCTAAATTCTGTATATATAATACACGAGGTCAAATTCTACATTCTGATTCTGGCATTTTTTCCACACCACAGCTCGTCCAAAGACTCAGTGTGAGCACCACAGGGACAGCGTTCCTACGGATGAAGGACATCCTCATGTTGGAGCCTTTGTTCCTCGGTGTGATGAGCATGGACAGTATCAACCACAGCAGGTTGGCATCTGTCAGAACATTCCTTCATGGTTCATTTTTCACATTAAAAAGTCCAAAAGTTTAATGTATGGCAACATGGTATTTTCTTAGTGCCATGGTTCTACTGGACATTGTTGGTGTGTGGACAGTAGGGGACAGGAGCGACCAGGAACTAGGACGCCACCTGGTACACCTTATGTAGACTGCAGCAGAGCAGGTGAGACCTATCAACATTATTATATTATTATAACTAGACTAATGAACAGCTCCCGGAAGTTGAAGCAATGAACAAGCGGCTCTTAGTGGACGATTACAGTATGTCTTTTTAGCCCTGGCAAGGACAATTTCCTGCCTAAAAATTTAAAAATACATTTCAGATCACTTTTTAGAGGTTAATTTTATTTTCACTTACAAGGTTTGACCAAAATGACTAAAACTCTGCTCTTTCAGTAGAATATGACCTTAGACTAAAACTCTGGGATAAAATGCAGTGGCAGGGGTGGTGGGGGTGGGGCCTTCAATGAATGCAAGGCCTTTATGTTTCATTATGGCCTGCACTTTAAATCAGTTATTGCAAATAGTCACTGTTGATTTCTATATTTTTGTTTCCTAATGAATTGTGTGACCCATTCTTACCCAGAAGAGCCAGAACGTCCTAAGACTCAATGTGAGCACCACAGGAACAGTGTTCAGACCACCAGTCCAGATGGACACCATCTTGTTGGAGCCTATGTTCCTCAGTGTGATGAACATGGACAGTATCAACCACA